GTCAAAAGAAAGGAACATCAATTTTTTATGTATAGACCTACATTTGATCAAGTTCATTTTGATTGGTCGATTACCGATACCTCGACCCATATAGTACTCCTCTCCCCTCTTGTTTAACCAGGAAATGATGTCAACTTCCGGGACTTTGGTACCCTTTTCCCAATCGGCAATCCTCGGCTGACTCCGCTACGCTCCATTCCAACTATGTGCGAGGTACGAGTCATCCGAGTAACTCGGAGTGACCTTTTCCCATAATTCGACTTCCACAACTACTAAGTTCATCGTACCCGACGTTAATTTATACTAAGGGAAAAAAATTATATGGAAATACGTAAAAAAAAAAAATTGAAAAACAGCTTATTTCTACTGAAGAATTAGACTATAATTTAATAATTTCTTTAATTTTTTTTCAGTATTTGATTTAGATGAACCCTTCCTCCCCCCCCCCCCCTCCCAAAAAAAGGAGGGGTGCAAAGGCTTCTAAATAATTAGTTTTGTACCTATGTTTTAAACCCAGTAAAACTTAAGATCCCTCCCTCAAAACTGCTGACATAAATTGCCTCGCGCCATCTCCCGAGGGAAGATTCACAGATTAATGTTAATTAATTTGCCTTTTATTGAGTTCGCTCTCCTGATAGAATGCGTAGGTTTTCTTGGCATGCGCATCCGTTCTTTATTGTAAAATAAAAGTAGTTCATTTATATCAATCTTGTGAGAATAAATATATAATGAAAAGATAAAAACTTTTAAGAAATGTTGGCAACGGTCATTAATTGTTAAAATAAAGTTTATTATTATTATGCACGGAAATATCAAATCCGTGACGTTGGTTTTCCTTTTTACAGACTATTTATTTACTTCCTTATTGAGGAGGCGTTCTAATTCTGAAGTAAGTAGTAAAGTATTGGACAGTCAAATGTTGATTTTAGCGTTTAGACATATTTATGCATAATGTCATCTTGGAAATCTGAGAGAAAACATTGGTTTTGACCTGAATGAAAAGAAAAAGTATCAATTTAACAACTTTGCTGATGTAGATAGACTGAATTCCATTATGAACTATAGCTAATTCCTCACGTGTTGAAACGTCAGGGGTTCTGAATACACTCGTGAATTATGGTCCGACCAACGACTACGAGTGGACTTACGACTTCTGTACGTTTTGAGGATACCAACATCTTTATTTTAGAGGCAATATTTTAATGAAAATGATTTAGGTTTACTATTATTATAGTATTTCCATACGACGCACCCCCCTTTTACGTTAACTATGGTTATGTTCGAGTGCTTTGGTTATGGTACAACCGGGATGAGTATTCATGATTTATATCGTTGAGATAAAGAAAGATTATAATATCAGATAGAAAAAATATGTTACAGCAATTAACGATAAAAAGATGTAAAAGTATTCGGGGGGGGGGGGGGGAATGGCCATTCATATTTTATTTGTAAGAGAGAGAGAAAGAGAGAGAGGGGAGGGGGGAGAGAAAGAAGATTCATAGAGATCATTTTCCTACTTTCCTGATCGCATCAAATCAACATACATGTAGCAATAAAAATCAACTTTTTTTTTCAAATTTACAATGTTATCGTGTAACTTACATGTACATACAGTTTTAACAATTTATAAAATTCTTTTATAGATTTTGAAGTATTAAATTTTTGGCAATATAAAATAACCTTACATTAGGCTGTGCCATGGAGAAGTTCCCAGGCTCCACAGAGGATGCTCACCCTGAGCTTTTCGACATCAATGCCATGCCCGAGCAGCCGAAGGAAAAGAAACCAGGACAGCTGTCTAAAGAAGATGTCCAACACTTTTTCAGAGAGGTCTGTTAAATGTACTTCTTACTTCATGCAAGATCATGTGTTTGTCTTTACCACCAATAAATGAACTAGCAATTTATGAATAGAATAATATTATTAGATGAATGGATAAACAAGATAAGGTCAAATGAGTAATGTAATGACAGAACATTTAAGGCCCCCAAAATAAAGCATAAAGATCTCACATGAACATGGCTACAAGTAAGTAATATTTTAATTATCTGTTCATTATCACTGTGGATCCTATCTCTGTTCCTTTTGATAGTTCCCTAACCATACAATGTATAACCATGATGCTGAAACAAAAGCAACATTTTTATCCAGTGTACAGACTGAAGGAATTATAATATTTTCTGGTTCAATGGTTAGTTTTATGTAGCCTCAAAATTTCATCAGAAAAATCTAGCATATTTCCTTTAAAAATTCTGTTAATCCATGTTGATTTACTAAGATGATACTTTTATAGATAAAATGACTTCCAAGGTAAATATTTTTGGAAGCATCCACACATATTGCATGAAGTCTATTTTTAATGAATTGATTTCTGAACTGGTTTAGTTATAAATGTCACAGTGTTATAAATGAATTATTCTTAATTTATTTCCCTTTCACTATTCATTATACATTTCAGATAAAAGTATCAAGAACTAGTGGCATTAAACATATACTTAGAGTTACAGATCATATCAGTAAATAAATAAGATTAGATTTAGAATTTCATGGCTAACTACTTGAGTGTCAAAATCTCTGAGAACCCTGAATATTTGTTCAATCATATCAGCACAAGTGCCCTTCATTCTATACGAAAATGATGTCTGTCTTTTTCAAGCAGGTCCACCTGTCTCTAATCATATGATAAACCGCATTTTATATCAGACTTAAGATTAACTGCACTTTATCAAACAAATTATTCGAAGGAAGGCACGTAACCTCTTGCATTAATTTTCATATAATTATAAAACATGTACATGAGTATACTCGTATATGGAAATAAACTGCATTTTAAAACCAATGGCTATAATTTTTCAGAAGTCTGGAATCTTTTAGACTTATTTAGATAATAATGATAATTCGAAAAGCGTTTTTCTAATCTTAGGGTTATTTGATAGTTGAGGAGTTTTTCCGGCCAGAGGAACTGAATGCGTGCCGAGATGCCATCAAATTGCTCGTAGATGATTTGGTTCTCAAGCTGTATGACGCGGGAAAAATCACAAGTGAGGATTTATCCTAGTCTCTCTTTGATCGAGAAAATGTATTTCACTGTAGCATAAATGGTTGATATGCATGTACATTTTATATAAAAATTGGACCAGAAAATTATTAAAAAGTTAAAATATTTAAATAGACATAATTTCAGTCCTGTTGATCTGAAAAATCTACAAGAGGAAAAAGATAACATTTTTCTACCCCCACCCCCCTTCCGAAGAGAGAAAGATATATTATTTCACTCTTGTGTGTCTGTCCGTAACAGTTTTTGGTCGCAGTTTTCTTAACAACTACTCATTGTGAAATTTTAGCACATCCTTTGCAAAGGCACGCCATATGGTGGGATTAATTTGTATTCAATTCCTGTTTATCCGTGCGTCTGTCCATACCATACATAACAAATTTTCGTCGTAGCTTTCTCAGCAACTATTCATATTAGATGCTTGAAATTTTAACATATTCTTTGTTGAGGCATGCCATACAATGGGACTCCTTTTTATACAAATCTGATATAAACTTCCTGTTTATCTATGTGTCTGTTCGTACCATACATAGCACATTTTCGTCTCAGTTTTTCTTAGCAACTACTTATCGCAGATGCTGGAAATTTTAGCACACATATTTATTGAGGCATACCATATGTTGGGATGTATTTTTGTATGAATCTGATGTCAACTCCCTATTTATCCGTGCATCTACCCGTAACTACACTATTAACATGATAATGTATATTCACATAAAAAGAACGTATTGGTAATTAAAAAAAAAACATGTTTTCCAATACAGAGCTGTACAAAGAATATGGGCTTTTCGAAAGACTCACCGAGATTGAGAAAGAATGCCCAGGAGCAAACATCATGTTACATAAAATAGGTTCAATGCCGCAGGTAAGATAATTACCGGTATATATTTATTCTAATAGTAAAATTAAAAAAAAAACTGAAATATATTTGAACCTCAAATATGTTTGTCTTTTATATTATATTCAAGGCACTGCGGGACATTTGGTCAAATGACAGAATGTTAAATTTAATAGAACAGCTGATTGGACCGGATATAATGGGTCACCCCGTGTGGAACCTCAGGACTAAAACTCCACAGAACGAGGCCACAACTGTGCCTTGGCATCAAGGTACTCACTCAAAACTCCCCCTCCCCCTCTCTTTCACTCTTGGCATAAATTTAAGTGAAACTGATTTATGTCTTGTTCTACATTTTAAGATGTTGGGTACTTGGACAACAACTCTTACAAGGTGCTACAACCGACTGCTTGGATCCCATTACTAGATGCTAACGAAGTCAATGGTTGTCTGCAGGTACATGTAAATTATTGATACAGACTACATACAGTTGCAATGTATATTTACAATGGCTCTGGTGCAGACTTTTTCAGTAAATAAAACATTGCAAGATATACATCCTACAAAACTGCGTAAAAATTAATTTTATGTTACCCCGTGTGAAGACATGCTTATAAAAAGATAAATCTAAAATTTTGTTTTCCCTCCTTAATTGATAAAACAGTTTCGATTTATAAGAATAAAACGTGTTCAAAAAAACTATACTATAACACATGATAATCTACGGAATATGGAATATATTGCAGTTAGCAGTAAAAGGTCACAAGACCGGAAAAGTGGGTACGCATCAGTGTTGCTATGGTGGCACGTGGTATGTGATGCTGGAGGAGGAAGAAATGAGGAAAAAATTAGGTGCGTTCGTTTGCGTTTAGATGTTTGCTTTCCCAAATTCAATATTTTAAAAGACGTTAGAATGAAAAGATTAGTAAAGTCTATTTAAAAATAATTGTTGTCTTAAAAAGTCTCGAGGAACTTGTTTATACTTATGGTAACATGTAAGGATAAAAGTTAGATGTGTTTCTTTAAACAGATATTGACACTGAGAAGGATTTCAAGATATGTCCAATAAATTATGGTGGCATGTTATTGTTCAACAACTTGGTGCCACATCGGAGGTAATAAGACTCTCTTTGATTTAAAGTACTGGTATTTAAGAGTCAAAATCAGCAAGCATCGAGCATTGAATGGAAAGTCAAAATTTTATTTTTTCAAAAGCTTTTGGTATATGAAAGATTTTGTCTTACCTAATGCTAAAACACGATTAAAATTTTTTTCGAACGTATGAAGGGACTGGTATCCAAGGAAATTCATTTCCTTAGCAACGGGTTCATAAATCCTTATGAAAATCAATAATTTTTAGACATTTTTTAACGAATATTTTTTCTGAACGTGATAAGATAAGGTATTTTGGTTACTTTATTTGTTAAAAGATGGAATTACTTAATTCTCCAAAAATAGGAAAAACAAAATTTCTGTAGTGATATTGTTGCCATGACAACGGGAAAAGAACATGGCGTCAATGCTTATTAATTTTGAAAAAAGTTGCATATGTTTATCACTTTATTCACAAAATCTACAACCACTGCTGGAAAAATGAATGGTATGATCTTGTTAGGGGTTATCTTTATGTCATATCTATACAATAAAATTTGCAGGCAACTTTAGCAGAAAAATGTTACAAATGGTTAAAATGTGTGAAAATCTAGCATTTATAAGCTTTTTTGAAGGGGTCGGGGTAATTTGAATACATGTTCAGTGTCCATTATATTGGCCATATTGGTTCTGATCAAAGCATACTCATAACTTTACTATTGTTAATAAATAAATGCACATTCAATTTCAAAAGGAATTTTATATTCCTCACAAAGGAAACTTGGAAAAGGGGGGGGGTAGGAATCACCTTGTTCACCGATCCATATGTTTGTTAAATTTTGAATTGTCCATAACATTTCATTGAAGTGCCACTGAAAGTTCATACTTGATATTAAGATTGCTTGCGATCGAGAGATGTGTCTAAAACTTGACTCAAGGTCATTTGAACAAGTTCAAGGTCATTGGTAGAAGAAAAGTGCAACTTTTGCCCATTCTGTAACATTCTAATTAAAAGACTTGGTTTCATTTTGGGAATTATTTTTAAGCAGTAGGTTTGTCATTACCTTGACCAAAATTCATTTGAACATGTTTGGCCTTGACTCATGGACATAGCTTTTTCAAGGTCACTGCAGTAAAGGTGTACTATATGAATTTGGCACATTTACATATTTAACTTCGAATGAAGGGAAATTGGAAGTTTGTGCTCAACACAACGGTTTTACTACCTATGACTTGAGTATTTGTCATAGTCAAATTGTGGTATGTATATCTGCACTAGCAAAATTTTAAAAGGTTTCAAATTAGTATTTAGACCTTTTTAGTAATAAAAAACATTTGATGCAATAGCAGGAAGGTTGTATCATTTTATTAGCTTGCTCACAATAATTCTTGTTTATGAAAGAGAGTCACTATGACAGCTCACATAATTATATTAAACGTAAAACCATGTCAATCAGGCATGTAGCATCAGGTTTGGGTTGGGTAGGGGGGATGACATCCCCCACCCAACTTTTATCTCAATGTACCCTAATATTAAACCCCCCCCCTCCCGAGTTTGTCCTTCCGTCCGTCCGTCTTTCTGTTTGTCTGGAACGCTGTCGTTTCCACACGATATCTCAAGAACCCTCTGAGCTTTTGCAATGAAATTTAGCATAGCAACAGTTACTCCCAATGGACTAAAGAAGAACCCTATTGATTATGTGGTCAAAAAGTCAAAGGTCAAGGTCATACATAAACAAATTCTGTCTGTTATAACACTTTCCTTTCCACACAGTATCTCTAGAACCATTTGAGCTATTGCAATGAAATTTTACATAGCAACTCCCCGTGGCCTTATGAAGACCCTTATTGATTTTGAGGTCAAAAGGTCAAAGTTAAAGGTCGTAAATTTATACATTCTCTCTGTGTGTAACACTATCATTTCCGGGCGATATGTCAAGAAGATTTTGAACTTATGCAATGTATTTTATACCAAAACTCCCTAGGACCTCTCTCAAAGTGTCCCGCCCCGTTTGTTTTATTAGTATTTATAGTATTACATGTCGCTATTTTTAGCACAGGGGCATGAGGAGAGTTATTGCGTATAAAACAGGTTCTCGGCAGAATTTATATTCCTATCACATCTACCAGAACTGTTTAATAAAGGTTGAATTAGACACCATGTTTTGTGTAAATTTTTGACGATATCAAACATGAATATATACATGTATGGGACTTCTATTTGCATATAATTATAGAAATTGTATAGCAGTTCCGTGGCGCAGTGGTAAGTCTCCACTTCACATGCGAGAAGTCACGGGATCGATTCTCGGATGATCATTTTTTTCTTTTCCAAAATTCTTTTTTTTTTTTTACTAAATGATAGTATTCAGCATCTGAAATGAAAAAATTATGAGGTCTAGCTTGTACAAACTCATAAAATCATCATTACGTTGTGATAAATAATCCACATAAAAAGAATCTTCTATACACATAATCAAATCATTATATCAATATTGACATATTTTATTTGCTTCAGTATGCATGTATACATTTAAAAATTCTAAAAATTCAATTAGGGGGATCCGACCCCCCCCCCCCCCTAAGCGGTAGACACAAATTCTCTGAAAATAGCTTGTTAAAAAAATGCTAACAGACAAACAAAGAATGTTACTTTTGGATTGAACATTTTTATTTGATCCACTTTCATGAATACACTAAATAATTTATGGATCTATTTTCTGGATCCCTGAGTCTACTGTAACACTATCCACTCACTTCCAGCATCAATGGTCTGTACTGTTTTCTCATAATGATAATCTGAAAAAGTGATAAAATCAAAATGTAATACATTTGTAATATTATACAGCTTTGCCTTCAGATACTTACTAAGAACCATTTCTAGTTGAGCTTGAGCATTGATGATAAATGCAAAGCATGTTTATTGGAATCAATTTAAATCCAAGAGATCTCAATGGTTTAGTTTATCATTTTATTTTTAAAAGTTAACGTTTTTACTAAATGTATTATTTACACGTTTTTCCTGTCTAATTCTATATCAGCTCATCCAATTCTGTTTCTGCTTCTTTCCGAGTTTGGCTTCAAAGTGGCGAATTTCATTCTAAAAACAGAAGTATACAACGCAAAGTTGAGACGGTATTGATTTTAGATATTATTTAAATTTATAAACTTGTAATAAAAAGGTCAATTGGTTCTAGGTTTTGTCAAAACTCTAAATTGTGGTTTTCGTTTCTTTCCAATAACCCCCCAACCCCCAACCCCCCCACCCCAACCCCCCAAGAAAAAATAGAGTATAGAAATTATTTTCAAAATTTTATGTGCTGTAATTCTAATGATGCTTATTATTTGAACCTATAGTTGACTTAACCTTTTTCTTTTTTTACGACGTCATAACAAAAGTCATTCCATTTTAAAAATATTTCATAAAAGTGTTGATTTTCATAAAATTTTTTATGTAAAAAGCAGGTATTATCTTATTAAAATGGTAAATAAAGATATCTATTACTATATACAGAATTGTTATTTACCCGACCATCACTCAAGTTATAATCATTATAGCTGGTGAGCAATCGGAGTTCCTCGGATGACTCGTACCTCGCTTATAATTGAATGGAGCGAAGCGGAGTCAGCCGAGGATTGCCGATTAATGAGTGACTTGGTTACACACATGCTGTGAATACAACAAATCAAAATTGAACTAAATTCAAATTAAACTTTATAATTTGGGATACAGTTATGTAACTGATCATGACCAACTTTTTCACGTTCGGCCCGCAGAAACAATCAAAGTTGGGGAATTTAATTTCATTATATCATATTATAGTTTAATATTGGCAATATTATCGGGGAGGGGGGGCATACCCCCTCCTCTTGGTTCCTCGGGACATGCATAATCTTTTCTTTTTTGTTATAAAAAACTAAAGTAATGCTAACATATATAATCAATCAGAATTAAATTGAAATGTGCAAAATACACTTGCCAAGTGTTACATATTTTCCTGCATGGTTAATTTTTGTTATACATTCTTCAGAAACTGTTGTAATGGTAAATTGTAAAAAATTCAGTCACTTACCGTAATCAAGACTCATGAAAACGCCAAAACTGAGGCTCAGACTGCTCTGAGTTTAAATTTTCTTCTAGTCTTCTGTACAATGTTATTGAAAACAATGTAAGCAAACTACCGTTTATTCCTCCTATGTTAGAGAGCTATACCAAAGGGAGGTAATTTGAAGCAAAAAAGACAGAAATCTATGGATTTAAATCAGTTATCATATATAAATGCTTTAGTTGCCTGCAGATTTTTTTCTTGATTCTTATAGACGAAATACTGTTTAATATATATTTTATGTTGATAAGCTTTAATGTGGTTGTAGATTTCTTATAGAGTACTTCAAATTTGCTGTTTTTTTAAAGCAAAATAAACCTCCTAAAACTAGTTATATTTATCAAAAGGTGAAGAGAATTTCAAAAATCAACATCTGCTAAAATAGAGTATATTTATATAAATAAAATAATAATTTAAAAAGCTTTTTTTAATGACTAGTAATAAAAAAGTATTTGTTTAACCATAAATTCAAGTGTCATGATAAAGTACAAAAAACGCTATCTGAAAGGCGCGTGGTTTCCATAGCAACAATGCGAAAAATTATTTTTTGCTTGCTTTTTTGTATCATTCCCTTTGTTCTGAAAATTTATAAATGAGTTTTAACCAAATCTGTTTCTATGCCACTTTCCACATTTTTTAACTGAATGCTCGATGCTTGCTGATTTTGACTCTTAAATGCAATGAAGTCAACAAGATGCATAGAAAACTATATGATTTCAATGTAACTACCCTTTATAATATGGTGAAAATGTGTTTATATCTGTTTAAAGTTTATTATATGAAAACAATTTGAAATATGCATTTAAAGGATGGTTCATCCCTGTAAACATTAGTGAATTTAAATATCAAAATTCTTTGTGATAATTTTCATATCAGCATGCCCAAATTATGCAATTTCGAAGCAGGATACATAAAGCAGAAAGATCAATATTAAACACTGGTGGACTAAGCATACCCAAGAAACAAGACACTGATCTCTTAAATAATTCTTCTTTTTTAAAATAAAATTTATCTTCATTATGGAAGATAAAGATATAAAAACCTTCATTTTTTATTTTCGTTATCTCGGCATTTACCCAAAGTCGTTGCCGTAAATTGAAGATTTAGGCCTATACAAAGCTTGAATTTGTGGGTCTCTGGTTCCCAATTTTCTAAACCAAAAGCTACAATGCTGCAGCTACAAAAATATTCTTTTCAACTTCTTTCTTTCAGGAATAGTGAAGGTGATTTTCTATTTTTTTTTCTTTTTACAAGTTTACCAAATCTATCAAAGTCGATTCGTTGGAGTTTAGACCTTCGATGGCAGAGGCCAAGTGAGCCTGTGGGTTTCTATGGACTGAAAGAGGGACTTTTAATGAGGTCTTCCAAAGATCCAAATATGAAGATTGACTGGGAGGCATTCGACGCCATAAACAGACATGATAAACAAACGTCTGCTATGACTGGCAAGGTGAAGAATATAAACTCTACGTTAACTAATTTTGGCTCAGTCTTAAAAACCACTTTGTTCTTAAATGAAGAAATGAGCTTTTCTTGACTTGCATTGTAGCTTTCATTTGATTGATTTCAGGAAGAAATTGACGAGTTTGACACAACCATTCAAGGGCCGTGGATGAAGAAATGGGAAATAGTGCACGTGAATCGACATGTAGAAAGACACAGAGAAATGGAAGACCAGCCAGAAACATGGACGAAGGCGTAACTCTCAATAACATATTGTCGGCTGTATGGGTCATTATTTTCAGCATTTAACATTTGTTTTGTTCCAAACATTCATTATGTTTTCTGCAGATCTTCCTTCTTTTAAAAAGTGTAATGTTTTGCATGTGGGCTTCCAGGGCTTCATTGTACATATTATAATTAGAAACGCAGAATTTATGATTTGAACTGAAAATCATTAAAGATATCATAAGAAATATTTATCCATGAATTTTATCAATGAAAATAATAGAATAATAATGTAAAATTCTAGTCTAAGGCCAGATAAAATTAATCTTTAGATTCTCATCCCCGCCCGCCCCTCTCAAAGTGTCCCGCCCCGGCATTTTTTATTTTGATTTTTGGGTGTAAATAAAGGCATTTTCAACTATTTTTATTCAGTAAGAATTTGGGTGAAGTTTAAGAGTTATCTCCCGTCTGTATTAAAAGTCGTGTGTCACTATTTATAGCAAAGGAGCCATGTGAAGAATGGAGAAAAATCGGCAATAAAAGCAGTTTAAATATGTAAGGAAAAGATTACTTGTCAGTATAGAGAAGGCAGAGAAAAAAATAATAGCATAAACAGATCTAGATACCATCACTGGCATGAGCAAGGTTTTTAAGATTTTTTAAGACTAAGTATAAAAAATAGACATGGAAAATGACACCTCGTCAAGTTTTAACGATCTCCAACTGTGTGTGATTTTGATTTGAAAAAAAAAATAAAACATCGTAGGTAGACTTTAGAGAATGTTTAGTGCTAAGAAAATGTTAAATCTTAAAATTGTTCAGGCCTAGGTTTTTTCGGAAGGATATTTAATATTAGAATATTTTATAGATTTTGTAAATATGACCTATTTTATTGTCGAACATGTCAAGTCTCAGGAACAATCCAATTTTTGAGGAAGGTGGAAATCAATGATATTTTACAGAAAACAGAGGGATTTGTAGGTAAAACTAAAGGGTATATAGGAAAAGGCCGATAGAAGTCATGCATACAAAATTTATTGGTATCAGAACCCCACCTCATTTTGTGTTGCGTGTGCCGTTTTTGTGTACTTGATAATTTGTTAATTAACAATAAATATCTAATTATTTAAGCAAGAATTTTCTTTAAATATTTAAAAGAATACGAAAAAATAAAATCTATTTATATTGGCATTAACATAATGAAAAAATGTGTATGAAGAGTCCATGTTTTGTTGATACTTACAATTTAACAGTTATAAAAAATAAAAAATAAAACCCGCCCACCCGCCCCAATTTTTTTAGCAAATTAGGATGAGAATCTAAAGATTAATTTTACCTGGCCTAATCAATGTTTGCTAAAATTGATCAGATGTAGCTAATCCCACCTATGTGTGACGTAAAAATGTCACGCAGTCAAATATAATTATCATCGATGGATACATTATCATGCTCAGCGAGCAAACGTAGGTGCTAATTAAAACATATAAAATGCTAGATATACTGAAAGATAAACCAAATTTAATGTTTTCTTTTGTATGCATATAAGCGGAATATTAAATGATCATATTCTTTAAACTATTGAAATACTGTAATAATTCTTGTATAATATTCTGCAATGATTAAGTGTATTCATTGGGCTACATAGTTGATTTTAGAAGGTGCATAATACTATAATATACAACTTTTTTACGAAGGTTTTTTTCCTAGTGGTAATGCAATTTGAAAAACATATTTTTTTAGAATGTTTTTGATACCGTTATGTAAATAAAAGACATGAAGCTTATTTGCTTTATATGTTCTGAAAAGCAGAATATACATTAATTAAATAAATGTGATGCAGAAAGATGGATAAAACTGGAGGAATTCGGAGACCAAACATTTTAAACTTCATGAATGCGATTCCTAGGGTTGTTGTCATTTAAAGTCATTTTTTGTACTAAACTGGTGGTCGGTTTACAGGTGGAAAACAATAGAATATTTTTCTGTACCAATTTGGAAAACATGTTTTAAGATTTACAACTTATCAAAGCTTGGGTATCTGACTATCTCTAATGTTTCTTCTGCGTCTACTTGTTATTCAGAAACGCATCTGGTGTATTTTGTGTAAACTTCATGTCATGATGACGTAATTTTTTTGTTATGTTTACAATGTAAGCGAATTTTCTGTTTAATCTGCGGTGCAGTTTATAAACATAGGAAGATTTAGTTTATATGATCAAATTTTTATGAACGTGTCTTGAGCAGAGGCCTGTCGGGATAACATGTATCCTGCACGTTTATAATAGTTTTGTGGATACCATAAAATCCAAAGAACTTTTAGAAAAATCAAAATCACAAAAATTTTCCAAAATCAATAGCATCAAAAAGCATTACTTTTCAACACTTTTTAAAAATACAATGCACTTACTGTTATTAAGGCAATAATAAAGATGCTTGAGGTGCTCGAGATTCTTATGTAGTCTTTAGAAACTTGGTCTTCCAATGGTATAAATAATCCTTTGTTAGCAGACACGTTTTTGTTTGAAGCAGCATTTATTAAAGTTTCTGCTACATGAACAAGGGGGATCTCTCTGGTTCCAGTTCGATATTCAAATGAACTATAGACATTTTATCACTTACCACCATTAATTTCATTTATATGTCACGTAAAATTCATAAATTTTTCCCATTGAACTCGAAATAAAGGACACCACAGGGCTTGATACATGTTTTACATAGATACTATACCAGAGAAACGATTGATGGCAAACTAGCAAAAGTAATAAGTTTCTATTACCAACTCCCCTTATTTGTGTAATTTGTTCAACATAATACCTATCATACAGATAAGGTCTTTATGTTTCCCATATCATTGGATGGGCAAGAGTAGGTTCTATGTATGAACAAGTTCTAAACTGAGACAAGCCACTAAAAATAAGTGGATGCTACAAGGGTATTTACAATCTTGTTTTACATAAGGCAACATTTCAGAAATTCTTTGGATAATACATGTATAATTTTTTTTAATACAGTCTGTCTTTAGGTCGAATAATAACTGACATTTTTATACTTAGTCAGGGGCGTAGCAACCGGGGGGCCAGGCCCCCCCACTTTTTCCCCCAACCTTACTTATACTATAGGAAATGTTAATTGAAAGCCTGGTTGGCCCCCCCCAGTTTTAGTGTTGTACCGAAAATGTAGTATTAGAATTGGTACTAAAAGTTGTTGACACTGACCCCCCCGCCCCCCCCCCCCCCCCCACGGCCCGCCACTTTTTTCCGCGACCTAACTTATACTATAAATTGAAGGAGTGGTTTTTTTTTTTGCTTGTCAAGTTTTTCAGGTAAGTAAAAAAGAATTTGTTCTCTGCATGGCTGGCCCCCCGACTTTCAAAAACGATGCTACGCCACTGTTAGTTATATAAGTCTCTGCTAGTTCGATGGACTTAGTTAAGGAGGTGTGATCGGTCAACGGAAGAGGCTTTAGTTACTTCTCGAGAACAATGTCACCTCTGTTGTCATCAGGGATTCCTTCTTTCCTGCTTTGCTTTCAATAGTATTTTAATTGGCACAATGAGTATGGTTACCTTTGCTTACTATACCCCCGCTTGAAAAATGGGAGGGTTACTGTAATCGGTATGTTCGTCCGTCCGTCCATCTGTTACGCTTTAGGGTACCCATCTTTTATCCGCAACTCCTCTTATACCACTGAGTAAAATTTAATGAAACTTTCACAGAATCTTCATTACATATTGCCATTGTGCTTCTCCTATTTTACTTTTTGATACGACACATATTTTGGGTTTCCCGGCCACAGCAAAACATGGACTTTGTCATCAGTTATAACCATATGGGAGGCGGGGGTATCATTTAGTGAGCTTATTGCTCACAGTACCTCTAGTCTGTACCTGTCGCAGGACAGAAATTAATTCAAGCATTTTATCTCTATAATACGTAAATATTCAAGGCTTTTCATGCTCGTGCAAGCTAAAACTCTGAGTCATTAAATGGAAAGAAATCCCTTAAATTTCCAGAGAACTCGGAAGGAGTATCAATTCCATTGATTTCCCTCCAAAATGTCGAATTTCAATTTATGCATTATTATCATTTCAAACATCTTTCTTACAAATGGAGAATCTTTGGTGAAAGGAAGTACTGAACTAAAAACCAGTGACATTGACATTTTAAGACAACTGATAAATCAGGAGACTTTATTCAGAATAGCTTTGACGAAAGACATCGTTAAACTTCAGGAGAACCTTGAATCTAAACAGGTTCAATCCACGAAAGAAGACAGAGTTTGTTCGAAAAACATTAAGGTAATGGAAGAGGGGACTTTATTCAATTTAGCAAAGATGATTGAAGAAAATGGAAGCAACAAAACCGAAGGAATGAGCAATGGCAATGGAACATCGTTGGTGGACATGCTTGCGAAATTATCAAATGGAATAACAGTGTTATTGAATCATCTTGAAAATTATGAAAATACTAGTATATCTTTTAACATGATGCAAAACCAATCTGAAGGGAACCAGAATTTTGAGGATGTAAAAATGTTTTCAACGATGCTGTTGAAACGCCTTGAAATTCTCGGAAATATAACTGTTTCTATGGAGGAAAAACTTGATTCCATGCATAACGATATAGCAGCCTTAAGAACAAAGTCTTATTCTTTGGGTAAGCAAAAATATAATGAATCAATTATGAATGCACCTATGTATAGAATTTTTATTTCTGGATGTCGACGGCCCTTTAACATAATATTTCACATGAAAATATATTGAAAACCTCAATTCATCTAAAAGTTATTGAAACTTCAAATATTTGGATGGATTTGATTGACAAATCCTTGTACTTTCACAAATTTTAATTTTATTCTTAATGCTTAGGAAAAGTGGCAATCTTGTGTATTAATGAAAAATATGAAAACTTTTAATCCAGAAAAATAATTCTATTCAGAGTAGAAATGTTCGAAAGCAAACCCCCTTCACAAGTATAGTCATTCCGTGTTGTGTACAGAGTTTAGCAAATTGAACACACCCGTGAAACGTGCAAAGTTTCTCTAAACAGGGCACGCACTCTGTTGTTGTTAAGGTTTACAAATCACCGGGTGTGTTCAATTGTTAAAATCTGCTCACCACAACTGACAATATACTGTGTGTATGTTTTGAGTTCGAACATTTCTACTCTGAATTTTCTGGATTATAGTTTCAATTTTATAAAACTTTTAAGTACTACTAAAACTATAGTAAAACTATAAGTATAGTTTATAAGTCGTAATATCATACAGATTTGAGAAAAAATTTACTTCAAATTTGTGTTTATCCACGGATTTTTGCCTCATTTCCCGATCATGACAAGGAGCACACGGCGGATACGACCGGTCAGAAGGGAATGCTCACTCCTCCATGGCATCCGATCCCACCTTTGATATTTTAGAGGTCCGTGTTTGCTCTGCTTAAAAGTATAAGGTTTCAAAAAATATCAAATTCTATTTAATGGGGAAAATAATTTCAGTATGCCCCATAACGAAAATATTGCGTTTACTTCTTCCTCCCTATTGTATGCGTGCGTAGAAAAGTTGAATAAGTTACCATAGTTACCATGGTTTCAAGTACCCAGGAATTAATGTATGTAGACCAAGAATTTATTTTGATGCAATCTTTTTTAAAGTTGTTAGAACATTTTTCTCACCTTTGCATACTCCAGTTGAATGTTGTTTTGAGCTAACAAGCAAACTCAAAATAATTGTGGTCCCTCGCTTTCGGTGTCTTTGTGGGTGAGATGCTATTGGTATTTTTTTTTTATGAAATGTTGTGTCTAATATGTACGAAAGACGAATAGGGCCACATAAAAAAATATTTTTATCTCGTAATTACGAGAAAAGATCTCGTTATAACGAGAAATGATCTCGTTATTACGAGTTAATTATCTCGTTATTACGAGAAAAGATCTCGTAATAACGAGAAAAGATCTCGTTATTACGAGTTAATAATCTCGTAATTACGAGAAAAGATCTCGTTATTACGAGTTAATGATCTCGTTATTACTAGAAAAGATCTCGTCATTACGAGTTATTTATCTCGTTATAACGAGAAAAGATCTCGTAATTACGAGAAAATATTTCGTTATTACGAGTTAATTATCTCGTTATTACGAGTTAATTATCTCGTTATAACGAGAAAAGATCTCGTTATTACGAGTTAATTATCTCGAAATTACGAGTTAATTATCTCGTTATAACGAGAAAAGATCTCGTAATTACGAGAAAAGATCTCGTTATTACGAGTTAATTATCTCGTAAATACGAGTTAATTATCTCGTTATAACGAGAAAAAATTCCAAGATAATGGCATAAATATATATTTATAATCATCTCGTAATTACGGGATCTTTTCTCGTTATAACGAGAAAATTAACTCGTAATAACGAGATCTTTTCTCGTAATAACGAGATGATTAACTCAGAATAACGAGATATTTTCTCGTAATTACGAGATAATTAACTCGTTATAACGAGATCTTTTCTCGTTATAACGAGATCTTTTCTCGTTATTTCGAGATCTTTTCTCGTAATTACGAGATAAAAATATTTTTTTATGTGGCACTATTCATCTTTAACTCGTAATAACGAGATCTTTTCTCGTAATTACAAGATCTTTTCTCATAATAACGAGATAATTATCTCGTAATAACGAGATCTTTTCTCGTTATTACGAGATAATTAACTCGTAATTACGAGATCTTTTATCGTAATAACGAGATAATTATCTCGTAATTACGAGAAAAGATCTCGTAATTACGAGATAAAAATATTTTTTTTATGTGGCCCTATTCGTCTTTCGTAAATATGAACAGCCTATCATATGTCATTTATTTAGAGATTATCATTGAAGTTGATTTATTTTGAAAATAAGGTCAATCGTGAAAGTCAAGGGGTAAGAAATCATAGCATGCTCGGAATTATCTTGTCACAGGTAATGCACATGTCATATATGAAAGCCCTATCTCTTCTTAATTAATTTAAGGAACAAGATGTGTTTGTGAAACACTGATGACCCCGAATGGTAACATTACGAAGATTAATATTTTTATTAATGAGATTTAATGTCTCCTCGCTTTTGCGAAAGCGGGGGACAAAAATAACAGTGGTGTGACCTTGACATACATGAAAACCACGAAACCGTAGATACAACCTTAATTTGTTTTTTTTCCGGCACTTGTAATGTGCATTCATGTTTTGCTTAACAGTGCAGTTCAATTGTCATAAAGTCGCTATATACTCACAATTTTCATATGTCTTTCTTTGTATGCTACTTTAAAAAAAAAACAAACAAAAAAAAACACATGATTTTGACAACTTTAATTATGGCTTTTGAATAGCCAATATTATGTCTGGAAAAATTGATAGGAAGAAATAGCAAAAAGTGGAAAAAAAAAACTTATCTGCCTTAACTCAAGGGGAATCTTTTTCTAATTTTTCGGTAAAACCCCTTTTTTGTATGTAATCATTCACCAGAGTTTGACCATGCGGAAACAAAATGTTCAGAGACTAAGCATCCAATGAATGAATTTTTATACCAAGTCCCTACGAACGGAATAAATAGTAAAGGTCTTGTCACAGGCAATACACAGGTTTAGTATGAAAGTCGTATCTCTTCTCATTCAAAAGTTTTGACCAAGGTTAAAGTTTTTAAAAAGTAGGAAAAACGTCAAGGTCAAGGTCACGATGTAAAAACCCATAGTGTTTTTAAAAAAGTATTGTCACAGATAATACACATGTTTAATATGAAAGCCCTATTATTTAAAAAATTATCAATTTATGTAGTGTTTCGTTTTTTTTTAAAGTAGGTCAAACTTCAAGGTCACGAGGTCAAAAATCAGAGTGTATTTATAAAGTACTTGTCATGGGCAATAAACAGCTATTATATGAAAGCCTTATCTCTTCTCATTCATAAGTTATGACCAAGGTTAAAGTTTTTGAAAAGAAAGTCAAACTTCAAGGTCAAGGTAAAAAAATCAATGTTCTTAGAAAGGTCTTGTCACAAGTAATTTACATGTTTAATATGAAAGCTTTATTTCTTCTCGTTCGATGGCAATCAGGCTCAGTGTACGTTCTGCACCGCATGAGTCACCTACGAAATAGGATTCAAATATAGGATATTTGTCAAAATAATTTAAATATAAGCAATTATTATACTTCTGTTAAAATGTTTCCTATATAAAGTTAAGAAGGTAAAATAACTATCTTTTATAGTTCACGCATAGCAAAGCTATACCCCGGGGTATAGTTTTTGCTATCCACCCTCGGAAAATTTTCATGCAATTTTTGCCTCCAATTTTGATTTCCAGCAATAAATCTATTGACTGATGATGTCATAATGACTTCAGTAGCACTGTGACGTCATCAGGATTTCAGATTATTCTTGCAGTATTATCTAACTCCAAAAAAATTCAAACCTCAGAAATTATATTATACATCAGTATAATAAAACGCTTATCCACTGGTTGTGAGTGGGATAGCTCTTTTATCAAACCCTTGACAGGAACTATTCCCCTCGGGCAAGCCCTCGGGGAATTGTTCCCTGTCGGGGTTTTTATAAAAGAGCTATCCCACTCACAACCAGTGGATAAGTGTATAATATCTACATACTAATATTACATACGTATTTATTCCTTAGATGAAAAATTCCGTGACTGTGAAGGTATACTAAACAGCGATGGGAACCTCAAGAATCGAGATGGAGTTTACCAGATTTATCCGGATTTGGTCACACCTAAGGCAGTTTTCTGTGACATGACAACACGAGGAGGGGGCTGGACGGTAACACACTAACACGCTAGATTAAGTGGAAAACTTGTAGATGAAATAGGAAGATAACAATTGGTCATCATTCTCAAAAGAAAACTTAAACGATAAAAATAAGGAACAGAGCAAACACTGGCATATTAAAACATCACAAGTTAGATCAGGTCGCATGGTGGACTAAGCATCCCATATCGACCGGTCATATCCGCCTTATGCTCCTTTTCATGATCGAGTAATCGACAAAAATCTATCTGTTAATGATTAAGTGTGGACATTTGTATGATAAACTTCACCAACATTCGCCTTTTTTGATAGTAAGATTGTATTTGCAGAAAAGATATGATCATTATATCAACAATAGATTTTATTGGCTGAAAATATATGATCATAAATATCAACCATAGATTTTATTAACTGAAAAGATATGATAATTATATCGACCATAGATATGATGAATGTTACTGCTGACAGCTAATTGTCAACAGCTTGCCTCGTTTCAGAATTGGTTTTTTCTGTAGAGCAGCGTGCTGTTGCGTTTCGAATCAAATGGGAGACATTAACTCCGTTTGCAGGCAATAATGGTACATGTATTTTTGCTGAATAAGTAATGAAAGTTGGCGATGGAAAAGTTCAGTAATCATGTTTGTCATGAAGTTTTGTTGTCAGGTACCATTCTACTAATTAACGTCTTTTTCGATCAGAAAATTCCAAATGTGAAACAGACAAGCAGGACTGTGGTATCTTTTATTTCGAGTGCAAAGGATACTCAGTATATCAAATCAATGTAGGAATGATTAAAATATTGTTTATATATAACATATCGATATATCTAAATGTTGAATTGAAGGTCACCTACTTACATGTAGTATAGTATGCCAGGGCATCAACGATTGATGTTGATGTTGATGTCCCTGGCATACTTAAATAACTAGACAGTGATTCAATATACTTCCATTTCATTTAAGAAACAACTGTCTTATTTTTCATGATTTCATGATGTGATCAATAGATTGGCTTGCGTGATAATTTGCATAAACGAGATTTACATGCATATTTGGCCTCCTTAGCGTCAGACACAGAGACAGATGCGCACGAGATTTGCATACATATTAGGCCTCCTTAGATCCTGACCTATCGACATGCCTAGTTTACATTCCGGTAGCCAATTATCAAAATTCAACTCCGATAACTAAATCAAAGAGTTATCACAGAGAAAAAAAACTAGAAATGGAAATATAGCAAGATACTGCTTCTTTTCGTGTTGTAGATTGTGAATGAACTCTGCTTTATATGAATACAAAAATAAGTCTTATGTATGGCACGCCAAATTCACAAAAATGAACTATAAACTTAGTTTCACAGTCGATAAACTAGGTTTATCCGTTGTAAACTATAGTTTACGGACTGTAAACTATATAGTTAACAACGTTTATCTATATTTAACATCTGTAAACCGTACGTAGTTAACGCGATAATCTGTTTCAGAACCGTAAACTACAGTGTATATATACATGTAATTAACATTGAAAACAATCATTTTCGATTGCAAAACATAGATTATCTGATAAATACAATTTCACGATTTGTAAACTATGGTTAACAAATCTTAACTTTAGTTAACGATCTGATAAATAGTTTTACATTTTGTGAAACTATGATTAACAAGTAACGTTATATTGAAAGGTTATACAAAAAAGGTCTGACGGCTCCACATATTTTCAAGAAGATTGGGAGGGCTACAAATCAGGCTTTGGTAATCCATATAAGGAATACTGGCTAGGTAAGTTTTTAAAGCTAAAAATAGAATTTAATCTTTATTAGATAAGAAGTATACATGTATAAATATAAAGAATTCCGCTTTCTTAAAGCTATAGGTTGCAAATGTCTTTTTCTTTAAAAGGCAACCATGCTATTCATCACATAACAAGTAATACAAACCAAGTTCTGAGAATAGATCTGGAGAAATTCACCGGATCCACTGTCTATGCCATTTATTCGATTTTTTCGATCAGCAGTGAATCTGACAAGTACAGACTTTCAATCAGCGGATACAGCGGAAATGCAGGTACTTTTAAACCGTAAAAACGAAGGAAAAGGGGGGAAAATTGAAAATGTCTATCGACTTCACTCATTTCAAGAAGACTAAAGGCATGCTGCCTTCGAAATTAGAATATAAAAATAAATTTCAAATAAAAAAAAATCTGTGTTTGTTTTTTTTTTTGCTCTAGAAATTACAATACTGTGTTGTCTTTTAAAGGAAAATCATACTCATTGATTTTTCTTCACTTTAATTCACAGGAGACATGATGATAAAACCTCATAACCTGAATGGGATGTCTTTCACAACGAGGGATCGTGACAATGACATGAACGTTCTCTCGAACTGTGCAGTGGTTAATAGTAATGGATGGTGGTACAATCAGTGTGCATACTCTGGACTTAATGGGATCTATAGATCTTCAAATGTTAAAGCCTACAATGGTCTGTTTTGGGGAATAGACTTTGAAAACATGAAGACAACCAGAATGATGATTAGAAGCAGAGCTTAAGAAGTGATCTTAAGAACAGATTAAAAACACGTTGTCGTCGTTCAGAAGGTTTTCAAACCTTTGTTTCCTGATTTGAGAACTGTTTATTTCCATTAAGGTTTTGAATTCAGTGTTATTCAGCAAATGCCAGAAAAGAAAAATGACATATGTATTCTTATTAAAATCCCCTAAGCTATAATTTTATATCTTCTTATTTAACAGTGTTAATTTATACAGTGTAAAATATAAACAGAAACTTGAAAATCAAGCTATTTTTAAAGAATCCCCAGGTTAAGTAGAGGAAAGTAGATTAAGATCTTGACACCCCCCCCCCCCCCCCGAACAGGATGGCTATGTTGATCATATCATTTTTGAAGCAGTGTAATATTTTTTAAATCTATTAAGAATAATAAGGCCAAACTGGCTGAGGTGAGCGTTGTGGTCCATTCACTTCTTATTTCAAAATCTTGTTCACATTCACGTTTTTAAAGTGTTTATCTTTGACGAATCTGTTGTGTATGTAATTTCATAAACATATCTTTCTGTGTTGACAGATTTTATAAATGGATCCTTTTAGTTATTCATGTTTGGCTATGTTCTTCGGATAAATAAGCATTCATCCTAGAGCATAATAACAAGAGTTCTTCTTCTTCTTCTGTGAGTGCTTGTTGATTTAATGTGATGGGGATCGTGGAAACTGGAGCATTTTATAATTCTCAGAATCGATTGATATATATACTAGTATGTTTATGTAATAAGAATTTTTTTCAATGCTGAAGAATTCATAAACATGTGAAAACTACATTAATTATAATTAAGTTCAAGAATATTGGAACAGAACATTCAAGCTAGCGAAAACATGTCTTTAATTAGATATATATATATATATAATAAAAAAATCACAACACCGAAATAAACTCAACCGGTTTCATTTCCAATCTTCAGGAGTTTGACAATACAATGCTTAGTTACACAAAATCAACATTCATATTTGATATATATACTATATATATATATATATATATATATATATATATATATATATATATATATATATATATATATATATATATATATATATATATATATATATATATATATATGAATGTTGATTTTGTGTAACTAAGCATTGTATTGTCAAACTCCTGAAGATTGGAAATGAAACCGGTTGAGTTTATTTCGGTGTTGTGATTTTTTTATTATAACAATACGTGTGTGGATTTATATTATATATATATGTATATACAAGATACAAGATACAAGATTTTATTAATCCAATTTGGGCCCCCGGAGGAGCAAAGAGATTTACAAATAGAAGGAGGAGGATCCAAATGATAGAACAAGCATGATGATGATATTACAAATAAAGAGCAATTGTTAAAAAAAACCAAAAAAAAGTATATAAGAGATATACTGAATATACATACATGTATTGTATTGTAAGTTACATACAAATATATATATATACCATTTGTTTATATATATATACATGTATTTGTGTGTAAATTATTATTTTTGTATGCATGGATATGTGTAACAATAAGTGTATGTTTATAATATATACTATACATACATTTATTTGTATATAAATTATTATTTTTATATGCATGGATTTGTGTAACAGTAAGTGTATGTTTGTGTATGTGGGTATGCATATGTCAAATATCTATTGAACTAACTCCAAGAGATTAGTTTGCATTAAGTTTATAATCATATGCTAAGTACTTATTAATTGAAATTACTATTGCTGTTAATACTTAAATGATTTTTTTTTTGAATGACCATCTTCAATACTTAGGGTACAGGTTTGCCAGACTGGCTGTATAGAGGTATCATCCCCTGGTGCCCTTTGTATTCAAGATGCACTAGTTTTATATTAGAGTACTGCTATTACTACAAGATTTTTTTTTTTAATTTACCTTATATCTATCATTTTTATTTAATTGTGTTTTCTTTTATCATTCTATGGTTTCTATGCTTTTGATCCAGTGTGGTGATGCACTTCTCAATGTCAAACTTAATCACTAGTCATGTTACATTATCCTTAATATAGAATTGTAATCAATGTTATCATTTTGTAATAATTGTTCATGCCCCCCTTGGGCCCTTGATTGGTGAATAAACATAATAATAATAATAATATATATATATATATATATATATATATATATATATATATATATATATATATATATATATATATATATATATATATATATATATATATATATATTTACCCCTAAGTAAATATACTATATATACTATTTTAAATTTTGTAGACACCCTGTATATTAACCCTGCTCGCTTCCAATATACTGCATTTCTCCTAACATAAAAGATCTCATTACGATAAATCATTTTTGTTTAAATATCAATTTCAAGATCTCTTCTTGGATACGTACATGTACTCCTAGTTATTTTAAGGATTTCAAACGTAGTTTGTTTTCATTGTTGGACTTTTGCATGTTAGTTTTATGCGCCCGGATCGATAGATCCAGGGTGTATATTGTTTTTGTCCTGTCTGTTTATCTGTTTGTCTGTCTGTCTGTTTTCAACTTTAACCTTCGCCATAACTTTCGAACCATAAGAGATAAAGACTTCATATTTGGTATGCATTCTCCACTAATTAAGTTCTTCCAAATGACATCAAGATCAATGACCTTGTGACCTTTACTGTGAGCTATATGCTAAAAATAGCTTTTTCGACTTTTTGTCACAACTTTTGAACCATGGAAGATAGGGCCTTCATATTTGGTATGCATACTCCACTAATTAAGTTCTTTCAAATGACATCAAGGTCAATGACCTTGAGACCTTGACTGTGACCTATATGCTAAAATATCTTTTTCGACTTCTTGCCACGACTTTTGAACCAAAGGAGATAGGGACTTCATATTTGGTATGCATACTTCACTTATTAAGTTCATTCAAATGACACCAAGGTCAATGACCCTGTGACCTTGACTGTGACCTATATGCTAAAAATAGGTTTTTCGAACTTTGTTGCCGCCGGACGCATGGTGTTTCACAAACACATATTGTTTATTTTGATGAAAATCATACCGAACACAATCCTTTTTGTCTAGGAGTAAGTTTAATAAAACATGTTCATTATTTGCAAGAAAATAAAAATAAAATTGTCTGAGAGAACACATTGAAAAAGTTTCTGAATGCAAATAAAACTGATTTAGTTATTCAGCTTACATAACTAATGATATATTATGATCGCTGTTGGAGGCTAGCTAAAAATCTGTTGAGGAATTATTTAAAAAGAGTACCAAGCATTTCAAATTTCATAGCAGACAAAATATCCCTGCATACAACTCATTGGAAGAAAGGCAATATGTTCGGAGTGGACTACAAATTTTTGATTATTATGATTTCATCTTGCCTTCTTACAAATGCACATTCACTGTTGACTGAAGATAATGAGGTAAAAACCAAGGATATAGATATTCTGAGACAATTATTGAACCAGGAAACTTTATTAAGAATAACTCTGACCAAAGACGTCGAGAAACTTAAACAACGCATTTTATCAAAACAGGACGACAAAGACAACATCCCTACGACGAGACCTCGTGTATTGGAAGAGAACAACTTCATTAACGCCTCCCTATTACAGACATTAGTAAGGAATGTTAGTGGTCACACAATTGAAGAAATAAACAACAAAATTTCTTTACAAATGCAGCAGTTTTCACAATTTTATGATAATTTTACAAAGCTCTCCGCGATACTCCTAAATGGAATTGAAAGACTTGAGAATGTGTCTGTTAAAGAGACGCAGAAATCTGATGCAATGGATGTGAAAGTGCAAACCGGTTTACTCGGTAAGTTATAAAAAAAAAACTTTCTAAACTAACATGTTATAGCATGTTTGTTGAGGTAATTCGATAAAGAATGTAAAAAACAACAACAATCCAATGAGAAAATAACGGCATTAAAGAGTTTCATATCACCATTCAAGATATTAAGAATCTGACTGAAGAAAGACCTTAATTCTTCATTCTACTTTTAATATACCCTCTATGTGTATCTCTTTACGTTCATGTTTTTAAGATGTACGATTTACTATTATATGTTAATATTATTATCCTACTTATCTATGTCTTATCTATAGTGTCTGATAAAAAGTTGACTACCAATATTGAACAATATATTGATATCTATGTTTGATAATCTTAAGCAGTATTTTTAGCGAGGGTTTAATTTTGGCATTATTAGAGAGTGTCAAGATCACAAAAATTTAATATCGCTAAAAATAAATTGAATTTTATTTGTAATAGCTTCTTCAGTGAGTATTTTAAAATCATTAAAATTACATCTCGATAACAAGAGGCCCATGGGCCACATCGCTCACCTGAGAAGCTTTGACCATTCTGTTCTTTACCAGATTTCACCCTTGTTATACATAATGCATCCCCACCCTACCCCACTGATCATAATTTAGACATTTTGAAATCTACACTACCCCATGATCCTTCCATGGGCACATATGTTTCAGCTTTTTTGGCCCAGTGGTTCCTGAGAAGATTTTCAAAGATTTTTCCTATATATTTCTATGTAAAACTTTGATTCCCTATAATGGCCCCGCCCTTCCCCTGGGGGTCATGATTCCTACAATTTAGAATTTACACTACCCCAGAATGCTTCCACATAAGCTTCACTTTTTCTGGCCCAATGGTTCTTGAGAAGAAAATTTTCAAAGATTTTTCCTATATATTTCTATGTAAAACTTTGATACCCCATTGTGGCCCCGCCCTTCCCTTGGGGGTCATGATTTGAACAATTTAGAATCTACACTATACCAGCCTGAGGATGCTTCCACATAAGTTTCAGCTTTTCTGGCCCAGTGGTTCTTGAGAAGAAGATTTTCAAAGATTTTTCCTATCTATTTCTATATAAAACTTTGATTCCCCATTGTGGCCCCACCCATCCCCCGGGGGTCATTATTTGAACAATTTAGAATCTACATTATACCAGGATGCTTCCACATAAGTTTCAGCTTTTCTGGCCCAGTGGTTCTTGAGAAGAAGATTTTCAAAGATTTTTCCTATATATTTCTATGTAAAACTTTGATTCCCCATTGTTGCCCCACCCTTCCCCCGGGGGTCATGATTTGAACAATTTAGAATCTACACTATACCAGGATGCTTCCACATAAGTTTCAGCTTTACTGGCCCAGTGGTTCTTGAGAAGAAGATTTTTTAATGACCCCACCCTATTTTTGTCTTTTCTTGATTATCTCCCCTTGCGAGGGGATATGTCCCTTCATTTTAACAATTTAAATTCCCCTTTACCCAAGGATGCTTTGTACCAAGTTTGGTCTAAATTGGCCCAGTGGTTCTTGAGAAGAAGTCGAAAATGTGAAAAGTTTACAGACGGACGGACGACGGACAAAATGTGATCAGAAAAGCTCACTTGAGCCTTCGGCTCAAGTGAGCTAAAAATAAAATACCAATTTTAAAGGTAAAAATTTTCGTCTAAAATTTTCCACTTATACGGTAGTATAAAAAAAAGTTGTTTTTTTTTTAAACAGAACTGAAATACATGGCGCTATAAGCACGTGTTTTTTACAATAATAAAAGAAATATGGGTTGTCATGTTTATGTCTTGAAAAACTTGGTTTCTTTTATTTTTAAACAGATGATTTTTCATTACAATGAAATATATTTGTCTAATTATTAAAACTGGATATGAACCTATCCCTCTATCACTCGATCTGCTTAGGTACTTTTTGTAACTGAAAGTCATTGCAAGCTATATATAATTTTTATTTTCGGTGTAAAGTTTTGACTATGAAAAAATATGATACCAATTATTTGTTAGAAGCTTTACTTACATACTAGCATAAATTATTACGACTAGTAACAACAAATAATGAAAAGATTAATTATCTTTTCTACTTAATTAGATAAAAGATACAGAGATTGTCAGGAGATTCTGAAGCAGAACATAAGTTTGAGGAACCAGAACGGTGTATACACAATTTACAGTCTAGTCGAACCCTCAAACGAGGGTATACCCTCAAACGGGGGTTTTCCTTCCCTAAGTGCAACGCTCGAAAGCAGAAGAACGATAACTCTTCTTATTTAAAAAATAAATATTTTTTTAAAAAATCATAAACATACAAAAATGAATCGTCTACACCTTTGTTTTCAATTAAAAAAAAAATATAAAATTGTTTTCGTCTTTATTTACGTCATTTCTCACGCACAAAAGTTTGTTTACAGGACAGAGGAAATTCGAACATGCACAAAGAAAGTGTCGAAAAATAATAAATAACACGCTAATAACACAGGATTTTTGATACCGGGGAAGGGGATTATATGTAGTTCAACTTTAAACAAGCAATTGTTTGTTTATTCATCCGTTTTATTAAGTTATGAATAAAAAATCTAGTTGTATCAAGCATGGAGGTCAAGGCACAGAATTCGCCAACTTTGGGGGAGAAAAAGTCTCGATTTTTACAATAAACATATACTTTTTCGCAATACAATCTCTTTAAACATCTTTAATCTATCAAATTTGAGTACATACAGAGCTACGAAATAATCCATCACTTTGCAAGAGCATATTTTGTGGACCACACGTTTTTCCGTGAAAACGGCACTTTTTTATTTTCTGCGCATGCGCCGTACCCCCGTTTGAAGGTACGGATATCCAACATCCGTAAACCCCCGTTTGACGGTTCGACTAGACTGATTTATCTAGGTTGTAACACTCCACGGAAGGTTTTCTGTGACATGACCACCAATGGCGGGGGATGGACGGTCAGCTATAAATAAAAATGTTAATATTTATTTTAGGGATGTCAACGGGTACCCGGTTAACCGGGTACTCGATCGAACGTCCGAGTATCGAATACTAAAACTGGTACTCGGTTGCTCGGATGTATATTTTTTTTCTTTTTCCAAAATGCATATATTTATGAAAAACTTATCAAAAAATAACTTTAATGTGGATACGATAATTAGCGTGTCGTCGTCTACACCTTTAAAACACCCGTTATAGCCTGTGGCTGTGTATATACAGTAATTAGTGACCAATTACCTGGTACACAGCTTTTCTCACCTAATGGGATCCTTAATTTTTGGATGGCTTCAATGATTTGTTTTCATTGATGATCGATTGATGTGCTCTTATCTTTAAAACATTTTAAAATTATTTAGTAAACGGTACCGAAATCTGGCATGCATAAATATACCGCTACCGACTTTAAAATATAAAGAAATTGTATGTAATACATGAAATTGAAGATTGAAAAAAAAAATTAAATCAGCTCTGTGGAATAAATATGACGTATACGGGGCAATAACAATATACGACAACTCATTCCAACAACGTCCGTTCCTTCTGCTTCGAGCTTCGCGAGTGTGGTCTTTACAAAGGTGCATGGCAGATTGATTAATTTAAAGCGTCTTCCCAAACAAGAACTGTAAATCATTAATTTGTAATTCTTGGTGAATCAAATTGATGTCTTTTATGTTAAATAAATAAATTAAGTACAATAAATCATTTTCGGTGGACTCCACGTTTTTAAACATGTACTAAAAACATAATAAAAAACAACATTGGGGTTAAAGAGAGCTTAACTAGGTTTAAGATTAAAATGAACAGCATTGTATTTACAATTTTACCGAGTACCCGGGTACTCGATCGGAAAAACGTCCGAGTAACCGATTATCAAATATTGACCGATTTGACATCCCTAATTTATTTATTTAAAAAGAAAAACAATATTAAACCATTGTCAATAACAAACATTTAAAATGTTTTTCATAATAAAATTCGTTCATTATTTTGCTTGATTATGATGGAAGTTTTAAGCAGCCATCAGAGATATCCATCGTCGGAAACCCACGACCAATCTCGCATACGGTTATCAATAAGCGTGTGCGAGATTGGCCGTGGGTTTCCGACGATGCAAAGATATCATGCTTTGATATTATTTATAGAGAGTTCATGTTTAATATTCGCATTTATTTTTACTTTTAAATTAAAATTGAGAGAAAAAAGAGTAAATACGTGTACAGTGGTTGGATAAATACGTGTACAGTGGTTGGATAAATACGCGTACAGTGGTTGGATTAACAAAGTTAATAAGTATATTTCAGGTAATACAGAGAAGATTTGACGGATCAACAGATTTCAACAGAGAATGGAAAGATTACAAGGAAGGGTTCGGGGATCCCAGTAAAGAGTACTGGTTAGGTAATATACACGATAGTAAAGAGTACTGGTTAGGTAATATACACGATAGTAAAGAATACTGGTTAGGTAATATACACGATAGTAAAGAATACTGGTTAGGTAATATACACGATGGTAAAGAATACTGGTTAGGTAATATACACGATAGTAAAGAGTACTGGTTAGGTAATATACACGATAGTAAAGAATACTGGTTAGGTAATATACACGATAGTAAAGAGTACTGGTTAGGTAATATACACGATAGTAAAGAGTACTGGTTAGGTAATATACACGATAGTAAAGAGTACTGGTTAGGTAATATACACGATAGTAAAGAGTACTGGTTAGGTAATATACACGATAGTAAAGAATACTGGTTAGGTAATATACACGATAGTAAAGAGTACTGGTTAGGTAATATACACGATAGTAAAGAGTACTGGTTAGGTAATATACACGATAGTAAAGAATACTGGTTAGGTAATATACACGATAGTAAAGAGTACTGGTTAGGTAATATACACGATAGTAAAGAGTACTGGTTAGGTAATATACACGATAGTAAAGAGTACTGGTTAGGTAATATACACGATAGTAAAGAGTACTGGTTAGGTAATATACACGATAGTAAAGAGTACTGGTTAGGTAATATACACGATAGTAAAGAATACTGGTTAGGTAATATATACGATAGTAAAGAGTACTGGTTAGGTAATATACACACTAGTAAAGAATACTGGTTAGGTAATATACACGATAGTACTGGTTAGGTAATATACACGATAGTACTGGTTAGGTAATATACACAATAGTAAAGAATACTGGTTAGGTAATATACACGATAGTAAAGAATACTGGTTAGGTAATATACACAATAGTAAAGAATACTGGTTAGGTAATATACATGATAGTAAAGAATACTGGTTAGGTAATATACACGATAGTACTGGTTAGGTAATATACGCGATAGTAAAGAATACTGGTTAGGTAATATACATGATAGTAAAGAATACTGGTTAGGTAATATACACAATAGTAAAGAATACTGGTTAGGTAATATACATGATAGTAAAGAATACTGGTTAGGTAATATACACGATAGTAAAGAATACTGGTTAGGTAATATACACGATAGTAAGGAGTACTGGTTAGGTAATATATACGATAGTAAAGAATACTGGTTAGGTAATATACACAATAGTAAAGAATACTGGTTAGGTAATATACACAATAGTAAAGAATACTGGTTAGGTAATATACACGATAGTAAAGAATACTGGTAAGGTAATATAGACGACAGTAAAGAGTACTGGTTAGGTAATATACACGATAGTAAAGAGTATTGGTTAGATTATATATACACGAGAGTAAAGAATACCGGTTACGTAATATACACGATAGTAAAGAGTACTGGTTAGGTAATATACACGATGGGTAATACAAGAATAAGAATTTACACATGTAACTTTGCCAAAAACAAGAAAAAGAAACGAACAAAGAAAAAAATAAAATCAATATTTGTCCAAAATAAAACATGTCAGCAATTTTGCAGGAAATGACGCAATCCATGATCTTACTGCTGGCAAAAACCAAGAACTTTGGATAGACTTAGAAAAAATTCTCCGGTTCAATGGTGTATGCACGATATTCAAGTTTCTCAGTCGGAAGTGAGATAGAAAAATACCAACTGTCAATTGAAGAATTCAGTGGCAGCGCAGGTAACTAGATCATTAATAAAGTGTCTCATTCACTTAAGAGGGTATTTTCGAGAAAAAATACACATTCTGAATATTCCAAAATGCAGATGAAAATTAAGTGCCCCAGTTAAGGATTAATGGTAAAGTGGGTTAAAGATGTCTATTCATGCTGTCGGACTGTCCTCTAATATTTGAACAATATATCTTCATCCTTTCAATTCAATTTTTAGAATCAACTTATTATTTTTTTTTCTAATGAAAACTAGCGTTTGCTTAATAATTTTTATCTTGTAAAATTACTGAGGTATTATCAGAAGTCAAGTACATGTATTTTTGAAAATAACAATTAAAAATAACATAAATAAAGAAGTCAATCTGAAAGTTCTAGAGAATCTTCCGCCACAAAAAATATACTTTTTGTTTTTATGCCCCCGTAAACGAAGTTTCGGAGGTATATAGTTTTTGTCGTGTCCATCCGTCTGCCTGTCTCTCTGTTTGTCCGCAAAAACTATAACATTGTCCATAACTTTTGATTTAGTGGAGCTATCACTTTCATATTTCAGATGTGCATTCCTTGTGACAAGACCTTTCTTTGGGTACAACCAAATTTGAACTTTTGACCTTAACCTTGGAGTTTGACCCACTTTTACACAAAAATTCCAAACTTTTAAATTAGCCATATCTTTTGAATAGTGGATACCAGGACATTTATACTTCATGTATCTTATCTTTGTGGAATGACCTTACATTGGATACCAACAACATTGACCCTTTGACCTTGGAGATTTCCGTACTTATGAAAAAAACCTTGGCCATAACTTTTGAACGGTGAGGGATAGGGATTTCATACTTCACATACATAATTCTTGTGAGAAGACCCTTCATTTGATACAAAGAACTTTGACCCCTTGACCTTCCTTGGAGTTTGACCTGCTTTTAAAAAGCAAACCTTGACCATAACTTCAACAGGGTTAGTACTTGTGTTTTCATACTTTACATATATAATCATTGTGACAAGACTTTTCACTTGATAGCAAGACCTGTGACCCTTTGACCTTGGAGTTTGACCTAGAGTATTTTTAGCTCACCTTGTTGTTGTTAACTTTTCACATTTTCGACTTCACCTCAAGAACCACTGGGCCAATTTCAACCAAACTTGGCACAAAGTATCCTTAGGTAAAGGGGATTCAAGTATGTTCAAATGAAGGGCCACACCTTTTTTCAAGGGAAGATACTTCAGAAATAGTGAAAATTTGATGGTATGTTTTAAAAATCTTCTAATCAGAACCACTGTCCACTGTGCCAGGAAAGATGAAATTTATAGGGAAGCATCCTCAGGTAGTGTAAATTTCAAGTTTGTTCAAATGATGACCCCCGGGGGTAGGGCGGGCCATCATGGCCAATCAAAATTTGACATAGAAATATATAGGAAAATTCTTTTAAAAACTTCTTCTCAAGAACCACTGTGCCAGAAAAGATGAAACTTATTAGGAAGCATCCCCAGGTAGGGTAGATTCAGGTTTGTTCAAATCATGACCCCCGGGGGTAGGGCGGGGCCACAATTGCCGATCAAAGTTTTACATAGAAATATATAGGAACATTCTTTAAAAAACTTCTTCTCAAGAACCATTGTGCCAGAAAAGATGAAACTTATTAGGAAGCATCCCCAGGTAGGGTAGATTCAGGTTTGTTCAAATCACGACCCCCGGGGTAGGGCGGGGCCACAATTGCCGATCAAAGTTTTACATAGAAATATATAGGAAAATTCTTTAAAAATCTTCTTTTCAAGAATAGCAAAGGCATGAATGATCATATTTTTATGGAAGCATCCTCAGGTAGTGTAGATTCAATTTTGTTCAAGTCATGACCCCTGGGGGTAGGGTGGGGCCACAACATGGAATCCAAGTTTTACATAAAAACATGTAGAAAAAAATCTTTAAAAAATCTTCTTTTCAAGAATAGCAAAGCCATAATTAGTCGTATTCATATGGAAGCATTCTCAAGTAGTGTAGATTCAATTTTGTTCAAGTCATGAACCCTGGGGGTAGGGCGGGGCCACAATGTAAGTTCAAATGTAAAGGGCAATAAAGCCACAGGTAGTCAAAGAAATATGCAGGCATCCTTTAGTGTAGATTCAAGTTTGTTCAAACTATACCCCCTCCCTTTTAAGGATTGGTTGGGACTACTACTGGGTGTAAACTTTTCAATATAAACTGATTTCTGTTTTTTTCCTAGCCACATTGCTCAGGTGAGCGATGTGGCCTATGGGCCTCTTGTTTAAAATGTTTATCCTTGGCCATAACCTTTGAAGGGTTAGGACTAAGGCTTCCATATTTCACAAATGTATTTTTTGTGGCAAGACTTTTCATTGGATGAAAAAGTACCTTGATCTTTTGACCTTGACCTTGGAAATTTCCATTCTCTGAAAAAAACTTTCACCTACTTTTATATTTCAGAATTGTATTTCCAGTGAGTTTGCATTTAAGAAAAGTTTAATCTTTGCTATGTTGCCATAAGGGGGCATTAGTTTTCACAAACTCATCTAGTTTAAAGGAGCGGGTATAATTACATCATTTTGAAAGCTCAATTCGCAAAAAAGCATCATAATCATAATATGAAAAGGAACCCCTTTCCTATAAGTGCATGTAACTATAACAAATGTCTTCCATATTCTGTATATAATAATGTCTTCCTACTTTCAGATGACATGATGATACAAGCTTATAATTTGAATGGTTCGTATTTTTCAACAAAGGATCGTGATAATGACCATAATTCCTACAACTGTGCTGCCAAGTATCACCCTGGAGGATGGTGGTTTAACAGTTGTACACACTCAAATCTCAACGGCGTATACCAGACTTCTAATAAACAAAACAGGGAGAGTTTGTTCTGGGGAATAAATGGTGAAAACATGAAATCTACTAAGATGATGTTAAGATCGAAATAAAAAATAGGTTCGAACGAATTGCACCGCGATCTGTTTAATTATTGTCATACATAGAATTTTGCAAATTTTAATATCAAGTTTGTTTTATTCAAATATTTACCAAATAGAAAAATCGAGTTTATGAAGACAAAAGACTTGTCAGAAGGAAGGGAGATGTTACTAGTATTATGTTTATGAAAACTATGTTTATTTTGTTGCCCAGTGAAAGCAAGCTGAGGAAGAGATGTTTCCTTTGTTACGCAATTTGATACGAAAGATCGCAAACCAATACTTTTAGAAATATAGTTGAAATCTAAACAATAATATAATTATTATATCCCTGAAATATCGTTCATTTTAGACTTTAAACATATCCGGTATGATAAAAATGAGGAACCCATACTTTATCCACATAGAATAAACAAGGTTCCTAATAAAGAGGACTGGGTTATGATGATCATCATACCCATTCTGGAAAAGGATATCATTATCCAGCCATAATATTGCCGAGATTTGGCCATTTCTAAAAAAAAAAATGGACTGTTTTGTTATAATAATTAAAAAATAACGTGCACAGTAAGATTTAAATATGATAGGGAAAATCTTTTAAGCTTCTGTGGCAGAACGCTACAGAGCGTCTCAAGTGACCGCCAAGATTACGTGATTCACGCATGGGCTGAACGCTTGCAGACGAAGGTTAAAACTGGAGAAGATTACTTTAAACGGTTTTCAGCACTGAAACCTTGAATCATTTCTTTTATGGAATGAAACATATGGAGATAACGGTATTCAAGATAAAAATCATAAAACTATACAAAAAAGGAGCAGAGCAAACACGGACCTCCAAAACATCAGAATTGGGATCAGGTGCCATGGAGGAGTGAGCATCCCCTGCCGACTGGTCACATCCGCCGTTTGCTCCTTGCCATGATTGGGAAATAACGGGGAAATCCGTCTTCAATTCAGTGTATAAATAAACTCATGACTGAGTGACTTTAAACGAGACTGCTGATATTCTTGTTTGTCAATAATTTACCTCCTTTTAGAATTTGTTCATACGTAAAGCATGTTCTTGTGTATCGAATCAACCGAGATAAACAAACACCATATGCAGGTGATGGAGATGTATTGCTGCAAAAGTAAGGGGTGATGATGAATGAAAAGTCATCCCGTTTATCTTAGAGCTTGGTTGTAAGATTACCATTAAGGACTTTTTCAAGTAAAATATCCAAATATGAAATAGATGTGTCAGACTCTGTGGTATCTTTTATCTCAAGCTCGCCAGGATAAATCGTATCGACACAGGAATTGAAATTAGCATTGTTAATTGATAATACGTCGTCGATAGATCTAAATGTCGTGTTGAATGC